TCTTCTTCTCCGAATATAATTTTCCCTCATCCCTTAATTTTATTCTCGAGATAAGACCCCTTAATCTTCAACTTACCCTGTGCCCTCTATCTATCTATATATACATATGATTCAAATACATTTTGATGCCATAGTACTAGGCACTTCTCTCTCTCTCTCTCTCTCCTCTCTCTCTCTCTCTCTCTCTCTCTCTCTCTCTCTCTCTCTCTCTCTCTCTCTCTCTCTCTCCCTTCCTCCTTCCTTCCCTTCTTTCTTCCTTCTTTCTCTCTCCCTCCCTCTTTCTTCCTTTTTTTCTCCCTTTGTTCCTTCCTTCCTTCCTTCCTTCCTTCCTTCCTTCCTTCCTTCCTTCCTTCCTTCCTTTCTTCCCTCCTTTCTCACTTCTCTGCTTTCCTCCTTCCTTCCTTCCCTCCCTCCCTTCTTCCTTCTTTCCTTCCTTCTCTCCTTCCTCCCCTCCTCCTTTTCCTCCTATCTTTCTGTCTGTCTTTCTTGACTGAGTTTCTCTATCTCACCCAGGTTGGAAGTGCAGTGACCACTACAGGCTTGATCCTACTGCTGATTGGCACAGAAATTTTGACCTCACCCATTTCTGACCTAAGCCCTATTTTCCTCTATTTAGGCAGAGTGCTGGCCCTGTGACCTCAGGGGCTCACCTTGTTGGTACTAAATACAATGTAGAGACCTCATTGACTTTAGCCCTATTGGAGCTCAAAACTACCAAGCTCTAGCAATCCACTGGCCTTAGGCTCCTCAGTAACAGGGATTACAGTTGTTTACCCCTCATACTGGCCATTAAGGCACTTTTCTTTCCTTCCTTCCTTTTTTTTGTATGCAATCAAATTTTATTAAATATTTAACAAGACAAATATCTACTCCTCTAGGAACAAACCACCAACCTGATTCCTAAAGACAGGGTAATTATGTCTCATATCATTGCTTACAACAAGGCTCCCTCTCTATCCTGCCAGAAGTTATGTGTCTCCTTCTGAGGTGGCATGATTTCATCAATCAACACTGTTCTCTATCAAACAAGAGCTACTCAAATTTCTCTCTCTCCCTCTCTCTTTCTCTCTCTGTCTCTCTCTCTGTCTCTGTCTCTCCCTCCCTCCCTCCCTCCCTCTCTCTCTCTCTCTCTCTCTCTCTCTCTCTCTCTCTCTCTCTCTCTCTTTCTGTTTTGGTGTGTTAAGTTTTTAAAAAAATTCTAATTGCTGGGGGCAGCTAGGTGGTGCAGTGGATAGAGCACCAGCCCTGGATTCAGGAGGACCTGAGTTCAAATGCAGCCTCAGACACATAACACTTACTAGTTGTGTGACCCTGGGCAAATCACTTAACCCCATTGCCTAGCTCCCCCCAAAAATTCTAATTGCATGTAAAACCAAGTATTTAAATTTGTTTTTTAAACATTTCAGTTCCAAACCCTCTTCCTTTCTCTCTCCCCTCCCCCTTCATTGAGAAGGCAAGCAATTTGGTATAGATTATACATATGCCATCAAGTAAGATATTTCTACTTTAGTTATGTTGTAAAAGAAAACGTAGACCAAAAAAAAAGCCCAGCCAGAAAAATGCAGTAAAAAATAGTATGCTTCAATCTGCACTCATACTCTATCAATTCTTTCTATAAAGGTGAATAGCATTTTTCATCACAAGTCCTTTGAAATTGTCTTAGATCATTGCAGTGCTGAGATTACCAAAGTCATTCACAGCTGATCATCACCCGATATTGCTCTTACTGTGTACAAGGTTCTGCTTACTTCATTTTGTATCAGTTCATGTAAGTCCATGTCTTTTTCTGAAAACACCCTACTCATCATTTCTTATAGCCGATAGTGCTATATACCACAACTTGTTCTGCCATTTCCCCAATCAAAGGGCATCCCCTCAATTTCCAATTCTTTGTTACCACAAAAAGCTGCTATAAATGTTTTTGTACATATAGGTCCTTTTCTCTTCAAGATACAGACCTAGCAGTGGTATTGCTGAGTCAAAGGGTATGCACAGTTTTATAGCCCTTTGGGCATAATTTCAAATTGCTCTCCAGAATTGTTGGATCAGTTCACAACTCCACCAACAGTACATTGCCACTAGGCACTTTTCAAAGGACTTTACATAGATTATATCATTTGAAACTCACAATAACCATGTGAACTAAGTGCTATGGGTATTAGTAATACCATTTCACAAATGAAAAAATGGAGTTTCAGAGATGCTAAGTAACTAGTTTATAGTCACTCACATGTTGTAGTCTCTAGAAGATGAATTACCAGTTCTGTCACATTTTTAAAGAAGGAGGTAAACTTGAGAGCCTGTAGTTCTAATACCCCTACCAACATGCTACAAGCCAGTAGTCTAAATTTGTTTTTGTTCTTCAGTGGTTTTTCAGTCCTGTCTGACTCCTCATGACCCCATTTGGGGTTTTCTCAGCAAAGATACTGGAACGGTTTGCCATTTCCTTCACCAGCTCTTTTTATAGATGAGGAAACTGAGGCAAACAGGGTTAAGTGACTTGCCCAGAGTCACACAGCTAGTTAAGTATCTGAAGCCAGATTTGAACTAAGAAAGACTTGTCTTCCTTATTCCTGGCCTGGTACTCTATCCACTACTCTACCTAGTTGCTCCAGAAAAAAAAATCTATGTCTAAACTATATAGATAAATATTTACTGAACTCTGGTTTTTCTGACTTCAGATCCCATGCTCTATCCACTGAGCTACCTAGCTGCCCCTTTGGCTCCAATAAAACATGCAACATAGGTTGGCATAATAAGCAAATATACCTTCTATAGCCTGAACAAATTATATATTGATGACATTTATATGGCTTTAAGCTTTGCAGAGCACATTACATGCATTATCTCATTTAAACCTCTCAGTAGTTTACTCATCTGTAAAATGGAGATAATAATATTTATAGTACTTCTGTCACAGGCATTGAGGACCAAATGAAATTATATGTGAAAAGCATTTTACAAACTTTAAAGTGCTATGTAAATGTCATCTGTTACTTATTTATCTGACTTTGGGCAAATCCCTTAATCTCCCAGTTTTCCCATCTATAAAATGAAGGGGGTGGCCTCAGAGGTTCTTTCCAGACAGCTTTATAGCTCCATGATCCTATTATTAGAGGTATTATTATCTCTGTTTTATAAATGGGAAAACAAGCCTAGAAGAATCAAATAACTTCTCTGTGGTCATATAACTAGAAAGTGTCAGATGTAAGATTTCAACCCATGTCTCCTAAACTCCAAGTCTAGTCCTCTATCCATTATATCCTTCTCTCTGTCTTTGTCTTTCAGTCTTATCTCTCTCACATACAGATATTATTCAAATGTCCATAAAAATATTGTGATTAACAAAATACAAATTCATTTTAAAATATTCTTGAATTTGCAGTTGCTGCCTCTCTGTATCTTCACAATTGATTTATATCAACCGTACAATTACTATCATGAAGATTTAGGTAAATTTAGGTAAAGAACTATGAGAATCTAATTGAAACAACTATGTGTTGGGAATGGGTCTCTTCTCATAGAGAAGACTTTATTATAGTCTTTTATTTTTATTTAGTCTTTTGTTAGAGCAAATATATGATACATTCCCATTTCAGAGCTGGCCTTTTCTCCAGAATTGTTTTTCACTTCGGCTTCTGAAGGAAATGTTGGGCACGGTAACATTTCTCTATTGGCAAAGAATGAAATATCAATTCAGAGGATGAAAAGTACTGATTAATGGTTATACAAAGTACACTGGGAGAAGGAAAAAGTCATCATGAGGGTTGGAAATGTTCCTTTCAACAACAATATCAAACTTAGTGGTTTTAAAAGTCATTATATTTCTAAAAAAGAAAAAAAATTGGAAAATTCCCTGAAAAAGATATGCCATCATTACTGAATGAGGACTTGGACAATGACCTTTTGTTTCTTCTAAGTAGTAGCAGCAGAGAAAGAATCTGGCTCTTGAGAAGGAGAGATTATGCTGCCAAATAGATCTGATCCCAGACTCTTGTTAGCATGCAAAATTCCCTTTGTAGTACTAGCTACAGAAAGAAAAGAAAAAGGCATCATCTGGGTACACTCTGGGCATAAAATCCTATGCTTTGTGTCCCTCTCTAACTACCTTGCATCTAATTACTTTGTATTTATTTTTTATTTATTCTGCATATATTTATTCTGTCTATAAGTACACACATCTATGAATACATTGTCTTCCTTGATAGAACGTAAGCTTCTGGACAATAGGGATTATTTCATTTTTTTCTTTATTTTTACACCCAGCAACTGGTATATTGCCTGTCACCCAGCAGGCATTTAGTAAATGTTTGTCGATTGATCTCGATTGCTTCAGAAGATTATTCTTAAGCAGCAAGTATCCTTCTGTGAGCATCCTTACCAAGGTCCCTCTAAAGTACTGCTAGGTAATAAACACAGGATTCTTCATGAAGCCTGGCCTCACCCCCTAACGCCAGTGCCCTCCTCCACCGAACTGCCTTGTATCTGGGAACCGTATTTGTACTCATTAACTTTATATTTGATGCTTGTATTTTTATATGTACTTGTCTTCCCCTTCAGAACGCCAAGTTCCCTGTGAGTAGGGAATTGTTTCGTTCCTCGTATTTGCATCTGCAGGGCCTAGCACAGAACCCAACCGGTAGTAGGCACTTAATTAAAATATTCACTAATTAACTGTTGGATTGGCCGGTCCTAGAAACCTCATGCCAGACCAATGGACTAGAAGGCTTCCTTTAAACGGAAGCAGAAAACAAGCCTCCTTTTCTCATAATAATTAGCGCTGGCCTGCGACCCAGGAGAAGCCCGGGGCTTGGGGACTAGCTGTGCCACTGCCCAGCCAGCGTGCCAGGGGGCAGGCGGGGGGCGGGGCGCCCCCAGCCGGGCTGGCTGCCCCACCCCCACCCTCACCCCCACCCCCACCCCCACCCCCACCCAGCCCTGCTCCTGCCGTGCAGTCCCGCGGCTCGCCACTAGAGGGAGGCAGAGAAGACGCCGCAGCGTCAGGGGGTTCTGAGGGCAAAGGCGGAGCCAAAAGCTCCCCCGGCGTGGGGGACCAGGAAGGAGACGGGGCAGCACGAAGCAGCTGCACGAAGAAAATTCGTGGGTTAGACTTGCAGGTGAATGAGAAGAGGGAAGAGGAGGAGGTAGGGAAGGAGCTGGTGTGGGAGCGGCGCCTAGCAACCGGGGGTGAGGGGAGAGAGGAGCCCTGCAGTTGGTCTGGGATGGCACGACCCCCTATTGTGATGCCCCATTCATCCATGCATTCAGTAGGCATTTGTGACTGTGGCACCCGCAGGGGAGGGGGGACCCTCCTGTTGGGGGAACCCACCCCACCCTCCCACCAGACCTCACCTCTCTGAGGGCCTCCAGGCTCACATCTCCACCTGCCTCTTGGGCATCTCTGACTGCATGTCCAGTAGACGTCTGAAACTCAACATGTCAAAAGTTCGGTGTCGTTGTCCTCCTCCCCAAACACCCCCCAACACTCACTCCCCACCCCACCCCACCCCCGCAAATCCTCCCTTCTTCCGAACTCCCCTGTTACTGTGGAGTACACCCCATCCTCCCAAGCACTCAGGCTTGCAACTGGGGTGTCATCCCATCCTCCCCACCTTGTCTCCCTTCCCCTCCTCTCCTCCCACCTCCCACCCCCACCTTAAGTTACTAGTACCTTCCCCTCTAAGATTACCTTCCATCTACTACTAAGTCTCTTAAATACTCATTTGTGTACTATTGACTGTCTTTAGAGTGTAAGCACCTTTTGGGCAGACAGTTTTTGCCTTATCTTTGTATGGTTGTTACTTAACACATTGCCTAGCACTTAGTACTTGAAAAGGGTTTGATCAAAAAATCATAAATTGCATAGACAAGATGGAAACACAAATAAATGCAGTACTTCAAGAATTATGAAAGTGTTTGTAAGACAATTACAGGGGAGCTAAGATAAATACACAAGTATATACAGGTTGTCCCAAAAATCTTAATACAGTTTTAAGCTTAAAACTGGACATTTGAAGCTAAAACTACACTGAGACTTTTAGGAAAATGTACCCAAATTGAGGCTATGAAAAATGTATGTGAATTATAGAGGAGATAAGATGGATACGTAGTAAATAAAATGCAATTGATAATATGAAAAGTGTATAAAAATTAACAGGGACAATGAATACTTAAGGAAACAAGGTATAATTGAAAATATGAAAAGTACATAAAAGAATTATGGGGGAGATAAGATAAATACATATGTGAATATACAATTAAGAGACTATGAAAAGCGTATAAGAATTACAAGGGAGATAAGACGAACACACAAGTAAATATAATTTGTTTGAGCATGTGAAAAGTGTATGAGGATTACAGGGGAGATAAGATGAATATAGATGTAAATATGATTCAATTGAGAATATAAAAAAATAGGTAAGAGAATTGCAAAGTGCTACAAGATCTCCTCTCCCCAACCTCCTCCTTTCTGCTGTTTTAAGGAATTCTCTCTGGCACCTGCTCTGCAAATCATAGGTTTAGAGAGGAGTATTGTAGATTTAGAACTGGAAGGGACCTTAGAGGTCACCAAGGCCAATTTCCTTATTTTACAGATGAGGAAACTCAGTCTAAGTTCAGTTAAGTCACTTGCCCATGGTTACGGATGCTAATAAGCATCAGAGGCACATTAGAGGCAGAATCTGAACCTAGGTTTTAATTCAGCACTTTATCCACTATGCCATATTTCCTCTTTAGGAATTATTTTATACAAGATTATTTGTTTTTTCTTATTGTACAAATGGAATCACAAATGGAAATATGGCATGATTTAAGTGATCTAATGGAAGTTTGGGAATATCAGGCATAGCAGTCCTAAAACTCTGGGAGACTTTTGCAGGTCACTAAATCGTTCTACATCTCAGTCAAATTATTTCAGTAAAGATGCTAACCATAACTTGACCCTAATGAGTTAGGGGAAATGAATGAAAGCGATTAGAGAATACTCAGCTAATAGAGGTGTGCCCCAGGAATGCTTAATGATGCCCATTGAACAATATTATTGCTTTAAAAAAATACTCAGTTCAAAGAGATGTTCATTGTTCTGCAATTATCTTCTTTTGAACCAACAGACTCTTAATTTTTCAATGCACTGACTGCACATTTTAGAAAGAAAAAATTTTTTAAAAAGCAATCGCAGAACAATTTGTGGATGCTGGGATGATTGCCAGAAAATATATTTTCCTTCTGGTTCCTTCCTGTTTAGTTTGTAGGTATATCATTTTGTAAAGTTGGGGTTTTATGGTCTTGGGCATTTTTTTTAAACCCAGGTCACATAGTTAAATGTAATTAACTGTGAGCAAGAGAGAGCAGACCCAGCTAACAGTAGTTCAAACCTCCTTTAACTCTAACAACAAATAACATCATCACAGAACTTGTGAACATTTCCAGAGTCTTATAAACTATTTTATACTCCAAAAATTATTATCTACTTTATTCACAGTGGCTCTTGATGCTGTTAGGAGGAAATCAGTTGTAAAATGCTCCTAATTGAAAGGTAAGGTAGGTAGTTACCACATCCTCCATAAAGCCTTTCATAAAAGAAAAAGGGGAAGGGGAGGGTTCCCACTTACTTAAGCACAATCAAACAAATTTAATTTACTCTATAAAGTATTCTGTGGTCTGGGTTTGGCCTTTGGTCTAGGTTTGCTCAGTTGGTTAGTTCACCCTGTAAAAAGGCCAAGGTCATGTGTTTGATCCCTGTGTGGGTGAGATAGTTTTGATCTGTTTCTACAGCACCCCTACCCCCAGCCACCTGTCCTACAAATTAATATCATTGGGTAAGACATTGTGTCAGAGCCAGTGTAAATCCATCCTCCTTACTGGGAAAACATCATGTGAGACTTACCTGATGGGGGCTTATCTTTGTAAGCAAAGGGTGTTATAGCTAGTCCCACTTAGGGGATGGCTTCATTTATTCAGCATGTTGGAGAAAGATAAATAAAAATTTCAGAAACCTGGATCATCACTTGTTAAGCATCAAAAGTTTTTTTATTTTAAATAGTTTTTATAGGAATTTTTCTAAAGCATAGAATCCTCTTTCCTGACTTCTTGAAAATATATATGGAACATAATTTAAGTCTTATTACTTGAAGTTGTTATTATATTTTAATACAATAATGCTTTTTGCCTCCACTGGTCAGTATTAGGCAATTTGTCCCTTCACTAAATGGACCCAGAGTGCTATGTTTGTTTGTTTTTTTTAAGTTCTTTTTTTAAAAAAATTTTAAAATTCTTGTGTGTCTTATGAAATACTGTCCCCCAAATAACATGAGATAAAGTGGAAAGAATGGGCCTGGGACAAGGGGAATAAATTGGCTAAGGTAAAATGGAAAGGACAGCAAGATGTATGGGAGGGCAAATGTTAGACTCAGATTTTAACATTGTAGCTGTCTGAGAGGAAGTATTTTGTAGTTAGAGTGCTTGACCTGGTATCAGGAAGACCTAGGATGAAGTTTCATCTTAGATGCTTACGTTTGTGACTATAGGCAAGTCACTTCATGCATCTGAGCCTCAGGCAAATCTTTATAACCAAAAGTTGTGGGTGAGTTTGGGGTCTACCTCAGTCTCATGTATGATGTACCATTGAGTGCTACAGGGCTTAAAAGATGGAAATAATTCAGTCCAGTTTCCTAAACTTGTAGGATTTTTTCCAATGTTTTCCATTTAAAAAGACAGTGATGAAGAAACATATGTGAAAATTAATATTCTTCCTCAGGGAGATGCTAATGGGCAGAAAGAACTAAAACAGAATGTGACAGCCACACAACTATATGAATAAGCTTTTAGGTTTTTACCAATGAAGGGAAATCAGATTTGCTAATAAGTATGACTAAAAGCAGGGTAATAAACAGTTAAATAAGGTTATATCAACTTTTATAAATAAAAATTTGAGCAATTCAAAATTGAACCTAGCTGTTATTCCTTATTGCTATCACTGTCCTTCACAGAAATAGGGGAAAAGATGATGGAATAAAAATAATTTTTTCATATGCTTTAAAAATAACAGAAAAAAATTATTTAAACAATCAAATGGTGTCTGATTTCACAGTTAATTTGTGATAGGATATCTTTTTATGTGTATACTGCAATAATTTTTTACAACATTGTATGGTGAACCATGGTGGGCATCCCTATAGTATTGTATAATGGAAAGAATGCTAGCTTCACTTCAAGTAAAAAAGACTTGGGTTCTAAATCCTGCCGCTTATTAATTGTGTGACTCTTGGCAATTCACTTACCCTCTGTAAAGTTTCCTTATGTCAGTTTCTTTATCTGTAAACATAGCTGTAGTTACTACCTCAAGAAGGTTAAATGAGAAGATATTATAAAGCACTATGTAAGTATCTATTATTATTATTATTATTTTATCACCCTGTCTTGCCCTATAAGATTATACTTAGGAGAGCATAATTTCCTCATATTCTAGCTCCAGAGGAACAGAATTGTAATAATCTGTAGTGAATCACATCCAAAGCTTTCTCCCCAGAAAGGTTTGGATAGCACACTATAGCAAGAATTTAAAGTACCAAAAGTAGAGTCAAATCATAAATTATATACATTGTGGTATAAATATGTATTATGGTGTTTTTAAAATGCAACAGTAAATTTCAGAATTGTTTGAGCTTCCGACCTATATGTTATAAGCCTCCCCATGGCAGATTCTCTAACTTTTTTTGGTTGTAGCATGGTACAATGGAAAGAGCACTGACTGTAAAGTTAGAGGATGTGGATTCAAATCCTGCCTCTGATGACCTTTGGCAAGTTGCTGAGCCTCTCTAGGCCTTGGTTTCTTCTCTTTAAAATGGAGTTAGACTAGATGGATTCTGAGATCTCTTTCAGCCCTAAGTCCATAAGTTTATGATTCTGTGAACTTCTGATCCTCAGTAGGAATTAATGTAATGTTAGAATTAATTTTCAGTTTGAACTAATGCATGCTACTTGAGTTAAGAAGTAGTATAAAGGATAGGACCTACGTAAAAATTTCCTCTTCTTTTCTCCTTTCAGCTACTCAGTGCTTTCATGTTGCTTGCTTTGGGTTCTTCTGTCAGAGACAAGATCTAATGAACCAAGTTACACTAAGCTGATTGGGTGTCACTCTTCCCTTGCTTTTTAAAAGCAGGTACCTCAGGAAGAGGTCAGTGCTTCATGTGGAGGAATAGATTGTTAACAGAAGAATTTAAGGTACCAACGGGGAAAGTATTTAGAGGCAGGGAGACTTTTCCTCATACCATGCTATATATATATCTTTTCTCTCCTAATAAATTGTAAGTCCACTGAGGATAGGGACCACATCATGTTCATGTTGGTATTCACCAAGGGACCATAGTCATACTAGGCCAACTAAATGTTGATTGAGTTCATTAGCAAAAATGTCAGGAAAGGAAGGCCTTGTGTCAAAACATTCTTCAATTTACAAAGATTTGTTAGGTTTTGTAATTTGTGTTTTGGTTCACAGATAACAGAGTTATAGACTATTTCTCATTTATATTTAATGTGAACTACCCGAAAATCATAATTGTTTTTCCTTTTACCTTCTAGTTTCCTGAATTTCACTGATTCCTGTCTCATCATCATTCTGCTTTGTGGTCCAAATCTTTTGTAACAAGGAAATCTGGTATCACAAGAACCTATTGTTTTTGTATTTCTCTTGAAAACTTGGGTTGCTTGTCACATTACTTATATGTGAGTCCACCAAAGGCAATGTTTTCCAGGTGTGTTCCATAAACTTAATATTTATAGAAGCCAGATTTAAACAGCTTTGTTTAAAAATTTTGTTTTTCTACTCATAGTCTTCCAAATGGCCTAGACATTACCTGTTAAGGGGTAAGTATCTGAATTGTAATCAGAAAGCTTGGGTGTGTGTATATTATAGTCTCACCACTATAAAAGGTTAGAGAAAGGTGAATGGTCTGTATAGGCACATACCAGCAAACAGTAAGCTCTCAATTAAGAGGACATTTTGAGACAGTATTCATTACATATAATCATGGAGTTGGAAAGGATTGTCAGTATAACTGTCAAGACTAAACCACTCCAAACATCTGGTTGCTTATCCTATTATTAAAAAATGTCTAGGGAGAAAAGTTCTACAACATCTCTCAGTATTTCATTCCTGGAAGTTTATAAATCTTCATATAAATCTCTTCTCACTGTAATTGAGTCACATTTTTTCCTGCTCATTCTGTAACACAGATGAAGTGATTACTTTCCATATACTTGTCAATAAGAGTTCACTCAGTATTATCTCCTTTAACTGTCGTCATTTTTAAACCTTTCTGCCTAGCTCCTATTTTTCTATCTGTTCTCTTCTTTGGACCTGCTCAAAGATTGCTGTATCTTGAGTGGCAAAGAGTCTGGTAGGGAAATATGTTGCCTTTGGCCTATTTTGATATGAATGAAAGTGGAAGAAAGGGTCTTTATAATATGGGATTTATAAAAATAAAAAATTCCTATGACACAGGTGACATATCAAATATGGATATACATACATATTGCGTGTGTGTGTATATACACATGTACATATATGTGTATACACACATGTATGCTGCTAAAAGGCCTTTGTTTTGTGAAGTCAGCTTTATATAGGTTGAGCAGATGATCACCTATACATATAACAAGGAAAGTGCTTTAGTACATTAGATCAGGCAGTTCCCCTGATAACCATTGTTTGGCTGCCCCCAACTTAAATATCTGTGACCCTAATGAATCAACTTGTTGGTTTGTGAAAATGTCCTCAGTTATGGTTAGTTCTCTGGGGACCTGGGAAAGCTTGGGTGGTGTCCATTGTATTAGCTCTCTCATTGCCTTGCACTAGAAAATCTAAATAGTCCATATTGTGGTTGTGGTTTGTCCTTCATTCTCAAAGAGGACTCACATGGCACAGTTCTGAATGCTTTTTCAAAAAACTGCTGATAGCCCATTCAGCCCAGTTCTTAGATAATGCTAAAATTAACAGTCTTTTGAAAATCAAGACCTACATTTGGTAGACTGGAGATTACAATCACCTCCAAATACAAAGGTATACAAATTCAACAAGCAAATACATTTGACAAAATTCTCTACTAGGTGTTTGTAAGGGCCTGTCCCAGCCAAAATATTTAGGAAAAAATAAAATTAAAATAAAAAGAACTAGAAGCAGGAAAATAAAATGAAATAAATAATAGGAAAGGGATAAAGGGGAGCTTTCCCTCTCAGAGGGCAAGTCTAATCCCAAAAGTGTTTTCCTTGTATGTGGGACTCCTCCGGCAGTGATTATAGACTGGGAATTGAAGTTACCCTTCACCCTCAGATATGAAACCAAACTGTCCTCGGTGAAGATTTCTCCCTGAGTTTCTCTAGCACATGATTAACTATAGCTTCTTCCAGTGGACCCTATTTATGCCCAGAGCAATTAAGATAACATCTCTAGACAAAATCCTCCAGAGATTACCAGGACACTCAAAACAAGGGTGCCCCATTTTCCACTAGTTGATCACTAAAAATTTACCAAATTTACCAGAGGATAGATGAAGAAGGTTGATGCAAACAATTTCAAATGAGTACCAAATATTTATAGGGATCCACAAAAGGGTTTATGTACTCGAGAGTCATTGGAATGAACCCTAAAGATTCAAGACAAGCCCTGAGATTTTAGTTGTTGCTCGTGGGATACTCCTTCCTACAAAAGGGGTCACTAGGTTCAATCCTGAGGAAGCCTGACTCTAAAAGGGAGGGAGTTCAGGTGTTTCCCATTTCTCTCTGGCTCATTATACTCCCAATCCAGGGTTCTAGAGATTTTTTCTTAAATAAAGTTTAGAAATGTCTCATGTATATGGTTCTCCCCAAAATGGATACTCATTATCCAAAGTAGATATCAGGTATAAGAAAACTATTTCCTTCACCAGGTACAAAATGCTTAAACCCCACAAAATACATCAGTGCATATTGATACATACTGTAGACATAAAGCAGTACTTACTACCTCTCTAATATGTTTCCTTGTGGTAAATATAGTATTGTGTACCAATGGAACAAATATTTCACTTTTGCCTCAGATTTATCTGCCTGAGCAACTCATAAAATTCCAATCTTCTGACCAGCCAAGAACAGCTTTTGTGTAACAGACTCCTGGCAGTACTGCTTTTTCCTCCAAGAAGCTGTTGTAGAAATCACCTCCTGCTAGGCAACTAGTGCTACTCTGCACTTCTGACCTCTTCAGCTCTTGAGGTTGCCACTAACACTAGGAACATTTATCTCAAGCTCATTATCATTAGCACAGGTAGCCTACATATTGATAGGTGCGTGAAGTCATCATTGCTGCTGAAGTTCAAAGGAGAGTTGTATTCCCCCAAAAAAGATTGCCTTGAAAGAGACTGGAAGTAATCTCTCCTCACTCTTTATAGGCTACTGAGTAGGCAGCTCTTCTTGACTTACTCACAAGGCCCTTTGGACACTGCACCTGGTCAAGACTGTGGGTGACAAAGGATTACTGTGTTATTCTAAAGGATAAGTCCTTCACCAATGAATAAGTCTCCACAGACACAATATGCATGCTCAGCTCCACTGGAGGTGCCCCCCCATTTAGCAGATCAAAAGGTTTCCCTGATCATCTCCATTATTGTAGTTTTTTTTTTAAGGAAATTACCCTTTAAGATATTTTAGGGGTAGTAGCTCTGATTGATAACTGTCCCAGTGGGTGATTGGAGTGGAGTGGAAGTTATTACGGATTGGAGGTTTAGGAACTGTGAGGTCAGGGTGTTAAAAGTAGATCAATATGGATGTTGAAAGTCCAAAGATGACAGCAAGGAATAAGGTGGAAAGGAATTCTGTGATTCAGGTGCTTAGCTTAGTGAAGAAGGTCAAAGAGGTTGGCAGATAACGACTAAGAGGAAAGGGATAAGGGTAGTTTAAGCAGATTTCATGCACTTCAAAGGAGGATGAGTAATAGCATCAAAACAACAGTCTACAGTTGGCCATGGGGAATAAAAGGTATGCCAAAATTTCCCCTTGGTTTTGTGAGTCAAGAGGGTGTGAGGGTGAGCCAGGAGTATTAGGACAGGAAATTATAAACTTCTATATTAGAGTTATCTAAAGACTTCTAGTTCAGTATGGAACTCTGAAGATATTCAGAGAAACATTTGAACTCTTAGATGTTTTTTGTAATGCTTAAAACCAAATTGTACTGTGCTGAACATGTCATTTTCCTTACAAAGACTGTAACTGCCTATTTTCCTCTGTGTTAAATATAAGCTTTTAATTATTGACTTAAAGCACTTCTTTATTTGTTCTGTTTGGATTTCCACTCCCATAAGTCTGTACCCTTTCAACTTTATTTTCTTTATTAAAAAACATTTTACAGATATCTTGTTTTTAATCTCACCTATATTTCCCAATATGTTCTTTCTCCCTTCACCTCCCAGAACACTCTCTTTTATAAGAAAAAATAAAAAAGAGAGGAAAAAAAAGTTTAGCAAAATTAAGATATTTTAAAAGTCTGACATCATATACAGTGTCCCACATTGATGGCTCACCACCTTTGCTAAGAAGTAGGGCAAATTACCTTCTCATATCTCTTCTTTGAGGTCAAACTTGGTCATTATAATTTGTAGCATTCATTTTCATTTGTTTTTTGTCATTCTTTTCATTTCCATTGTTGTGGTCATTATGTATATTGTTTTCCTAATTCTACTTACTCTATTTTGTATCAATTCATATGGGTCTTCCCATGCTTCTCTGTGTTCCGTCATAGTTATTGTTTCTTATGGCATAGCAATATTTCATTGCATTTATGTACCGTAACTTGTTTAGCCATTCTTCCATCTTTGAGAATTTACTTTTATTTCTCTGAGCAACCTTTTTGTCATCTTTTTCTTTACCGCTCTCACACCTGAAACTCCATCCTCTCCCTAACAAAATAAAGGCTTTTGTCAGCATATTCCCTCCCTCCCCACAGCTTGCCCACTTCCTTCCCATCAAAATTAATTTTATATCCCACCTGCTCCATAGAAATTAAAAATGAAGAAATTACTTCAAAGGGCAGAAACTCTTTCATAATCTGTATTTTGTGAATTAGATGTTTGCAGATTGTTTTCTTTACTTACAAAAGTAGATAAATACAGATTGCATTTATAATTCTTAAAAATACAATATGAGTATAAAGACTTTATCTTCAATATATAACATTCCCTTCCTCCAATGAACCATTTTGAGAAGAGATTGAAAAAAATGATTTCTCAAAAATTAGTTAATACTGTCAAGGGTGGCAGGTGTGAACCCGCTGTTTTTTGCAATCAGTTGCTCCTTACCACCATCTCCATTTTAGAGTGAAAATGTCAAGGCCCAAAATAGAAACATCTAACTTTGCGTTGTTTTCTTTTATAGTCTAATATGCTGAGTAACATTCTATAAGAGCATTATCATTTCCATTTTCACAGCCCTAGTTTAAGACTTTCTTAGGACCTCTCGCTTGAACTGTTGCACTAGTTTTCTAAACTATTGCTATCTCCAGTTTATACCTTCTCCAATCCATCTTCCTAATGCACAGGTTTGATCATGTCATGCCCCTACTAAAAAGTCTTCAATAGCTGGTTTAGGAGAAAGAACACAATGTGTGTACTTATATAGAGTCAGAGGACCTCCTTACTTCATCTATGCCTTTGGGCAAGTCAAACCTCTCTGAGCCTGAGTTTTCCCATCTGTCAAATGAATACATTTAGATTTTATCACCACTAAA